AGCAGGCTCTCAGTGGGTGGACAAAGGGCCAGATGGGATTTTCACAAAGCTGTCTATTTAGCATGACTCAAACATGTGTCTCAGACAAAGCAGGACATCATTGAGTGGCTGGACAAGGACAACAGAGACTAAAGCATTTCTGCCTCACTGCCCAGAAGCTCTCTGTGTCTCTCTGCTATGTCTTTAAAACCACAAGAATCCACTGCATCATCACTACACCGGCGCAGCCGCTGGCTGCCAAGGTGATGCTTCAAAACAACTCTTTACTTGAATGACAAAATGTCATTTGTCACTGCCTTCCAAAAAAATAAATCCCACAAAACCCTCCATGAGTTTTCTGATCTGACGCCCCTATCAGCAGGATGGCAACAAGATGGGATGTTTGTCTGTGCCTTTCAAAAATCATGTGAGGGTTGTCCAATGTTTATGGGTAAACATTATGTAAGTTTAGCCAAATTAAAATACTTGGTTAAGATTACAGATGGTATGGGTTACAGGAAACAAGCAAAAAAAAACCAAACTAATGCTGTCTGTTGCAGGGAGATGTAATGAAAAGTGCTGTTTCTGGTGTGAAAGACAGACACTTTGTATGCACAACCACTCACACACCTCCTCATTCAGAGGTTTTGTGGCAGGATAAAAAACATCACACTACTTTCACCTTTCCTTCTGAGAGAGGACAATCTTTATTTGCATGACAAGAGGTTACTTGTCAGAGTTGTTTTGAGGTTTTGAAGAAACCACAAATACTGGTTGTTTTTCTCTTGAAATCAGTGACAACTGCTCCACCACCCACATTGAGAGGAAGCGGTTAAATCTCAAATTGGCTAATAAACAACAAAAAAAATCCCTCATGATTTGACTTAAAAAGATAATATCAGAGTTAATCTATGTGGATGATGGTGTTTGATTAAAAGCTCAAACATGTTGTTACAAAATGTGCAGCCGTGCCCCCAGCTCTGTGAGACTGAACTAATGCACAACAGTGCTTTGTGCAAAATGCTAACGTCAGCATGCTAACATGCTCACACTGACAATACTAACACACTGACATTAAGCAGCTGAAATGTTCATCATCTTACTTTAGCATGTCGGCATGCTGACATCGTCTAATTAGCACTGAACACAAAGTACAGCTGAGGCTGATGGGAAAGTGAGTGTAGCTCAACTTGTTTCAGCTCTACATTTGTGTACACAGTGATAATATACGCTGTACTCATAGATTGCATATTGGCGGATATGATGCTATTCAATCTGTGGTACAGGACAGCACAGAGCAACATGCTGACACTATGCTGATGTCAGTGCAGAAGTGCACATTTAGACTAGCATTACCAAAGCAGACAAGAAGGACAGTCACACCAACTAATGGTGGATTCCATATATGAATCCAATTGGTGTATAAAATAATGAGCTGGACAGGAGACAGCCACTTTAACAATGTAGGATGTATCTTGTTAATTTCTTTGCGTGGAGTGGTCAGAGTTGGAAAGTTTTGTGTAGTGTATTTGTATGTTACTTCACTGCTTTGTGTTGGTGTCAGCTGAGAAGGTCAGCCACCGTGTTCTGTAATGAGGAGGGAAAAATAATCACACACTGGTCCTTCTCATTCGCCCACCCAGCGAAGCAAATTAAGAGACTTACTTCCTGTGACAGGCTTGGTTCTGATACAGAAAATGAAGGCACAGTGGCTCCTAAATTGCGTCTCTGTTATTCCACCTATTCCCCAGTCTCATCTAAAGGTTCACCCACAAGCTGTGTGTCAGACAGCAAAATGAGAGCCACCCACAAACCCCCTCCCATCACCCCATCTGGCTACCCAAACAACAGCCAATTCAAGGGATGGCACAGAAGGTGCGCCAACTACAATGACTCATTATTTGGAAAAATCCTATTAGCAAATAGGTCTGCATACAGGTCCACCTGCAGCAATGTAACAACACAAATGAGTATATAACCTCTAAAATCATTTAAGCTGTCACTGAGTCAGCGAGTGGTGCTGGGTGACGTTTTTTCACCTGTTTCCAGTACAGATGAACTGAGCAAGAGTCAGCCTTAGTCTGTCTTGTTTCAAGACACACACTTCTGTTTCCTGAAAATCACTAAAAAGGAATTATGCCACATTTTTGCAACTTTTTTGTTTATATTACATTGTAAAATAGACAAAAATATATAATTATGCAGTGTACTTTGGTAATGGGTACATCTGCAACTAATCTATGTGAGACTACCTTTGGTCAATACTGCAGACACTTTAATGTTGGGATCATCTTTGATAATACATGTTTGTGCATGCATTAACAAGTATACACTGTATGGCTAAAATTTCTTCACTCCCTTCTCTCTCTATTTGTTGTCTCCCCCTCTGAATCAGCATTTTTGTGTGTGTGTGTGTGTGTGTGTGTGTGTGTGTGTGTGTGTGTGTGTGTGTGTGTGCGTGTGCTGTGCGTGTGTCGCGTGTGTGTGTGTGTGTGTGTGTGTGTGTGTGCATGTGTGTGTGCGTTCAGGATGGGAGTTTGCATAGCAGGACATAATGTGTTACATCAGCTTTATTAAACAGATAAGGAAGATTCCCCAGGTGTCACCTTATATATAGAATCTAGGCTGTGTTTCACTAAACTGGCTCCCTCATCACAGCTGATGTGTGCACAACCACTGTAATGAAGAGTAATCTAATCATCACTCCTGAGAGATCTGAGCGCACAAACAGCAATCCACACATTACACACACACACGTGCACACCCATAAACACAAATGCTTAAAATTACAGATACAGGAATGGACCCTGAAAAATGTTATGAATGCACACACACACACACACACACACACACACACACACCAGAGAGAACTGGACCGCTCTCCCATTTGTTGAATAATGCATAAAGAGGCTTGTTGCTACAATGAAACGATAAGCCTTACTTCTCATGGTATAGAGGAGGTTTAATTATCCAGTCTCTGTGTAATCACATGGAAACAGCTTCCCACTCGCCTTTTATTAAGCCTTTTGTAGCTGTTATAGCTGAGGGGGCACTCTTTTATGAATTATTGAACAATCTTGCACTGCATATGTACGTCTTACAGCATCACAGTAGCAAACTTTCTTAAAGGCAGTGGGGGAGACTAAAAAACTGACCTCCACTGGTATATCTGCTCTCTTTCATGTGAGGAGTTTGGGATCCAGGAAGGAGGCTGTTGTGTCATGTACTGTTTTAGGTCAAACACAGACAGAATACCTTAAAATAGATCTTTTTTTTTTCTCCCCTCTTTGTTTTGCCTCTCTCTGGTGCTGCACAGATGGGGTTCCATTTTGCACGAGAGCGATGTGTGGAAGTAAATGATGCTCCGGCTGCTTACATTATACTGCTGAGACACTGAGCCACCAAGCAGACATTCCTCACCACCCAGTCAGTACTGAAGTGACTTTCATATCTGGTGTTTGTATCTGTCAGTTCTGTTAAAGCTGCTGCAAAGCATTGGGGCGGGCATGAATCTGTGGAATAAATGAGACTTTTAGACACAGGAGAGACAGTATAAACTGCTAATTTCTCAGTCTATTTTCTGTGCGGCGTGTGCTCCCTTGGACTGTATGAGCACAGTTACATCACAAGCCATGAGGTAACCACTCCTCTGTTATGTAACCAGTTTCTCTCTGGTGGTATCTACCACGGGCTCAGGTGAGACCAGCCAACATCATGTACAAGATAAAACTATTAGACTTTCTGTTTCCACTGAGATTTGGCAGCCAGGGATGCAGCACTGATGTTCTCTCTTGTCTCTCTGATGCTTACAGATTATCTGCCAGAGTGCATATGTGGCTTTTTTCTCACCCAGGTTAGGACAGCTTCATTGCACCCATCTTTCTCTCACGTACTGTAGTTACAGACGCTACTTTGAAAACACAAAGCTTTTACGAACTACTGGTTTTTTGAATTCACACCGGACGATATTAAATTACAACAATACAGCTCCCCACAAGGGAAATAATGTTTTCTTAAAACAGTTCACACTTCTTCATTAAAATATTTAATCCAACACTGCGATGTTATTTAATACAAAGCTGTACCGTAATATTAATCATAACATATTACAACATAAAAAAAAGTTTTGAAATATTGAGACACAGCTGGTCACTCTATCTATATACATCTTAATGTCCAGAATTAAAATAAATGAATAATATCCTTCATATAATTTTCAAATCACACCTCTCAATAGTGAACCTTTAATAGTTCAGCTTGTACCTTATAGCATTTTAGTAACTGTCGCCTCGCATCTGTTTGCCTCTTTTGTGTTAGAGAAGGTGTTATACATCTTCATATATATATCGTCGTGTATCTTCATCGTGTGCTGTTTCATCCCGAGGGACAGAAAAATGTTTTGATTTCCTTGAACGTCTCTAAAATGTTGATGACAAATAAAATAAACAAAAATGCTAAAAGCTATGAATATGAAAAAACACGGCATCCGTTCTTTCATACATATCACTTCCACTGACAAATTGTGCCTTAAAATGACAAAAATAAACCACTAAAAATACTAGCTGAATGTGGAATTGGCTGAACCGACTCTAAGCTATACTGCAAAATGTGATTAGAGTGGAAAAATCTTAAAATATTTCTTTTTTTTTGATTTTGGTAAAATAAATAAATAAATAAACAAATAAACCATGCATTCTTTTCCCTAAAGTGCTGTGATTGCCCGGTGGCTGGAATTCATTCCTTTTGAAAAATCCAAATCAGCTACAGATTATGCACAAACCATTTCACCGCAGATTGCTTCACCAGTGAAACCAAGTATGAGTTTGGGCCTCAGAAGCTTTCTTTCTCTTTCATGTTTGTCATGGTCCAACCTTCCCAATTCTGAGCTATTGCCTGAAACGACTTATTTTAGCTGTCTGTAATCTTCTCTCGTAAGAGAAAACACATATGAAAGTCATTCCCATGCAGTGAACACACTCCTCCACACTGCTTCTGATCCTGTTGTGCGGACGTCTTTATACCTGGATGCCCTCTGTGCCGGGCTGCTGCAGGAGCTTGACGGTGCGTGTGTGTGCTGTCTTCTGGCCGCGGCCGTCGTGCCAGGTCAGGTTGCTGCCTCCGGCGCGTCGTGGCAGCTGGTAGCTTAGCTCCTCAGCAGACACTGTGTGCTCCAAGGAGGCACGGCAAAAACTGAAGCTGGACGCCGCTGAGAGGAGAGAAAAGCAAAGAGGCAAGCAGAGGGGGAAGAATGAACACTGATAAGCACTCACTTTGTATTGTCATTGTTTAAGGGGTTTGCAAACACATTATCTATGAACTGAGGAACAGGAACACCAAAAAACAACAAAATAAATGATTGATAATCCTCAAAGAGCTTAACAGGCTGCATTCACTCCAGATTACACGCTCTGTGTACTGACTGAGCTACAAACAGATGGCTGTTTTGGTGATGGTGGTGGGCAGCAGTGCTACTCCACTGTGATCTCCAATTATGCTGAGTGCATATTCACAGAGGCCGCGCACGGTTTTTGGAATTGTGTCTCTCTTGCTAGATTAGTCCTTGATTATTTAAATCCTGCATCATGAATATTTGATTTTTTTTTTCTTCTTTCCTCTCTGTGTCTATCCATCCCTCCTTTCCTCCCTGGACTGAGTGTTAGATGTGAGCAAGCAAAGCAAGAAAAGTAGTCAATGCAGGGTCAGAGTACAGTTCCGTAACAGCCGCGCAGCATCTTCTGCAGTTGACATCGCGAGGAAAACAGGCTACTGTACTTTGTCGTCTGTGGCAATGGATTTATTTAAAGGGGGACAAATACAGTTGTCCCCCTCACCTGCTAATTAGTCATGTGAATGATAAAAGAGGATATGACTGCACGCCAGAGGAGACAGAGAGGAGACAGTGGAAGGGAGCAGAAAAAGGCCAAGGGAATGAATAATAGAAGTGAAAATGAGAAAGAGACACTTAAGAAACCTGGCTATTATCTGCTTTCTGCAGTGACCTGATTTTTCATGTAAGTAATGTAAACAAGAAACCTATTCCTTGTGGATTAAGAGAAACCTGGTTAACGCACTTGAGATATTTGGAATACAATGGTTAATGCTAGCTTTTTAACTTGTGTAATGTGAGTTCAGACATCTTTACTGCCAAAATATTTAAATCTCAAGTCCAACCAAAACTGACACTAAAATAAATAAGTAACAGTTACACTCAAAAGCTCTTTCTCAAAGGCTTTCCATGTTAAAACACTGCAAAGTTGCAGCATGACGCACTGCAAACACACTTTCAATTACAGTATTCTATGGTATTATCACTGGTTCAAAACAACACTAGAGAAGAAATCAGATTACCAACAAGCTGCAAGTAAACGCAGGGTTGCAGGGCATATGAAGTCATGAGTGTATAACCTCTTTATTTTCGTGTGTATGTGAACGCAGTCATTGAGACGGAGACAGAATTGCTGATGATAGAGCTAAAAGTGGAACAAGGCATAGTAAATGTCATATTCATTTCTTTTTAATATGAAAAAAGCCTCTTTCAAAGGGAACAATGTCAGAACGTTCTTTGAGTAAAGCCTCATTTCATCTCCCACGAATGACGAATGAATTTCTTTTCCTCCTACCTCATTGGGGACCAGATTTTACAAATGAGAGATTAGATTTATTTGAACTCAGTGTGTAAAGTTATATAAGGTCTTTCCAGTGTGTTCATCCGTTTGTCCATGGTATGTTTCTTCTTTCTTCAGGTGATTTTTCAACCTGTGACTATGACCTATATTCCCATACCACTTACTACAAAAGAGGTGACAAAAACGTATTCTGTCAAAAAAACAAGACTAGGTCAAAACTTCAGTTTTCCTGCAGCTGGGAAACCAGGGAGGCAAGGTGACTGCCTGTAACAGGAGGTTTTGCCTAAGCGCACAGTTGGCACAGATACACAGTCCAGCCATATACTAGGTTTAGACCTAGCCTTGTTTGAAAAAAGGTCTGTCCATAACGCATGGACATTTGCGATTACAGGGGATGGCGCTGCTGTTGTGGTCCAACCAAAGATGGAAGTAAAAACAAAACAAAACTAGAATTACTGCCTCAGGGTTGTAAAAAAAAATGTCATCACTCCATCAGTTTCTCCAATTAGACATTTGTGTTAAATTGTGCCATAATTAACATATGAATTTTTGATATGGCTAAAAACGTGTTTTGTGATGTCACAGTGACCTTGACCTTAGACCTTTGACCATCAAATTGTAATCAGTTCATCGTTGAGTTCAAGTGGACATTTGTACCAAATTTGAAGAAATTCCCTAAAGGTGTTTCTGAGATATCGTGTTCACAAGAATAAGATGGACATACATGCAACAGACAACCCAAAAACATTATGCCTCCAGCTCTTGGCTGTCGCTGCCGCGGAGGCATAACAAGTACGACCTGTCATTCCTTCCACATACAAGAGAGAACAAGCCTTCCCATTTTAGAAATGCCCAGCAGACCACTGGGACCTGCTGTATGACAGCAAAGGCTTGTGGGAAACATCTGGTTGCAGATGAGAGGAGAGGTAAAAATAAAAACACTTCTTTCAACCCAACTCAGTGGTCTGATCAAGTGAGCACCGGTCGTGGTGGAGGAATGAAAAAGAGGGTGGAGATGAAAGAGAAGAAAGGCCTGTCAGGAACCACTGATGTGTGACCTGTTCTGCCTCTCTACCCTCGTATACATCTTTCTCTCTAACCTCTCACGCCTGGTGCTTCACTACTGCTTTCCTCATGTCTATATGTTGCTGCTTTTGTATCTTATACAGCACCATCCTTCTTATTTCCTCTCTTTTCTCTCTCTCTCTCTCTCTCAGTGTTTCTCTGTCTCTTCCTGGTTGTCAGGTCATCGGGATAAACTAGGCCCAACCCTGATGTAATTACTGCCAGTCAGACTGAGGGGGAGGAGACAGGAGGAAGAAACGTGGGAAGCTAAGCGCCTTGCAGCCCTAAAGACCTGCCAATCTCGCAGAAAGAGACAAGAGAAAGCCCAAAAGCAAGAGCAAGACAGACAAGACAGAGATGGGGAGGGGGAGCGGTGCTGTAAATTAGCTCTTGATCCATGCAAACTGACAGTAAACTGATCAAACTGTATCGAGGTAAAAGAGTTCAGGGATGAGGCGGGGAGGCGCATTAATAGACCACGATAGACTACGTTTCACAAGCTGTTAAAGACGGAGCTTTCCAATAATTAGACAGGGACCACCCAACACTTTATAGACATCACTTTTAAAATGAAGAAGTGTAGTGTCATGATTTAAAAGTTCCACTGAAATCTCAATCTCTGCCACGTCGCCGGACCTTGCCACCTCCAGCAGTCATAAAACGAAGACAAAGCGCTCATTCCGCGCGCTTTAATGGACTCGGCCAGCTTAACCTCCTGGCACAGGATATGGCTCAGAATTTAGAATAAGCCAAAAGCGATTAACTATCCATAGATTCCTACTGACGTCTTTTTTGAAATGACATTGCAACGCATACTTCTGCTGGTGGCTTTAAGAAGCACAAAGCTTCAAGAAAATGTAAATGCAGTATATTGTAATCACACTGACTGAAAGGATTTAGCTGTGCTAAAGCTCACTGTCCTTAAATGGATCTTTGAATCTTACCATTCAGCAGAGGGGGTTATCTGTCACCTTTCCTTGTCTGTCTGAACATGCATTTGATCAGCCTGGACAACCGCCAAATCTCCTCTGTCCTATTTATCACTAACTGCTGTTGTATTATCTCTCGCTGCCCTTGCCGGTGACTTTTATCACTTCCATTCGAGGGAGGGGAGAGAAGACAAGGGATGATGGAGGGTGGATGGAAAGTGTAAAAGCATGATATGTATCATCTGAGTTACAGTCGGTGGATGAAAAAGAATTCCAGCGATGGAGTGCATTTTTAAACTCTCAGGAAACTAACTTCAGGTTCACATCAAAAGAAAAAAAGGTGGGAGGAAAGCGAGAGAATTGTTGGTGGTAGAGGTGTCACCATCAAGGGCAAAGTATCAGACAGGTGTTTGTGTCAGTGTGTGTGTGTGTGTGTGTGTGTGTGTGTGTGTGTGTGTGTGTGTGTGTGTTTGTGTGTGTGTGCAGAGGGTAGATAGGTCAATATGACTCAGCCCAATGAAGTGTAACCTCATATCACTTCCTCTTGACTGACTAGCATATCTGCGGTGCAGAGTGGCTGCTAAACCTCAGAGGTATCTCGTTCTGAAAAGGTAATTAAGCCGTTAGGTACGGCACCCTGGAAGGTCGTTCCAAGCCAAATCCCACAGTCCATTAACATGGCATCACTGGACATTACTCATTTAACTCCAAAAGTGAGCATCAAAATTAGTCAGTGTGCACTATTTTGCTGTGTAGGCTTTTTGTAGAAGTTTGATCTTTGCGTAACCTTTGCATCAACTTCAGAGCCGCATGTGTGTGTGTTCTCCTCATCCCCTCATGAGGAAAGTGCTCTGGTCTAATCCACCTTCAGGCAACACATACGTAGAGGGTGCCGTGGTGTATTTCAGCGGCATGATATTAGCATCAACTCCCTCCCTATACCGACCACCTCTTATTCGACTCACAGATAAAATTTCTATTTGCAGCGCGAGTTTTATATGAAAGAGGAAAGAAAAAAAAAATCATTCATTCTCATTCCTCTGTAATCTGCAAGAGGGTGAAACTTCATCATGCAGATTTCATGCCTCAGTAATGTACCTTAAACCTGGAGTCCAAATATAGCATCAAACAAGCCAATGCTGCCAGCTCCACCAACACATCTACCAGTGATCCAGATTTGTCGGTGCTGTAGTATGTTGGGGGTAAAGCAAAGGGCTATTTACAACTCTTCCACTCCACCAGACCTGGTCTCAACCTCAGGAATGAGCCATGAAATTACTCCATTTTGAAAGAGCAAGGGGGGGGGGACAAATTTGGTTGCAGCTTTAAAAATAAATATAAAACCCAGGACCCCAGGGTTTTACCCATGATGCATTGCAGTCTATTATCCACTCTGACATGAGACATTGTCGCAGAGGCTGGGGCTGAGGTTTACCTTTCACAAACTATCAGTGTCATGGGAATGTGCAGATAGGGAAATGGGAGTAAACAATGGACATCCACAATGCAGGCTGATTGAAGATAACAACACACCAACTCTCATCAGGACACAGATGAGGGAAACGCCAACTGAAATCTGTGTGTAT